ACTTGACTTCCACGTGTTAGCTCTAGATTGGACTTTGCAAGCAGCTTTGCATGTAGAGCCTGGAAGTAATATTTTCTCGTTTGCCCCCACCCTTCCTCCCCATCGAGCTCGGCTTGTGATTAGTGCAAGAGTTGCACCCCCACAAGCTCTCTCAACGACACTGACACTCATCTCCTCACTTATTCATCTCTTCTTCTCTCTCTCTCTCTCTCTCTCTCTCTCTCTCTCTCCCTCTCTCCCTCCCTACCTCTGTTTGGTTGTCTCAACAGGCCTGCGATAATCACGGAGCCATATATTGTGTTTGGGAAGGATTGACCGGATCGACTACAAAGACCTCCAAAATCCTAAATTTCTATTCTTCTACCTAAAACCGATGGTAAAACTTTTGAAACTTCTCACTAATGAAGGTCTTTTTTTGTTAGGAGGGGTTGTTTATATTGCAAAAAGTAAATGATTTACAAAGAATCTGAGCTGAAGCCATTTCCCCTTTCTTTTATTTGTTGGCTACCGAAATCTTTTTGTTTGGAACAACCCTTCAATATTTGTAGGAGAAATGACAATTTGAATATGTGAGGATGTGTTGCTTGTATGTTCTCGGTGTTGCTAGCTTCAACCAACAAGGTGAGTTGCACCTTTCTCTTCCCTTCTTCTTCTATCTTTTTCTTCTGGTTCATCTTCTATGATTTTTTTTTTTGAGAATATTAAGTAATTTTAATTTCTTTCTCTTATAAAGAATATCCACTAACTTTAAAAATTTGTTTTGTTATACAAAATATCCACTTATTCTTTCTTAAAGTTATCTTGTTCCCACTTAACAATATGTTACTCCATAGAATATTTGTCATCCTTACTCTTAACTGCTATTAATTATTTCAGTATAGAGGTTGGTGTTTTAAAATAGGGGCATTTACATACCTACTACCCAATTCTTATGTGTTTTTGTATTTATCACCTAAACTATATATTTTACATTTATATCGCCCAAATCTTTCATACCACACCAAAAATGCCACTATTTCAACTTTTAAAAGGTGAAATACACCTTTTCATGAATATGTAAGGTGACATTATATGTAAAAATTGTTGTTTAGGTGTTAGATATGTAAATACATTAAGAATTTTGTGGTATTCCATGTAGGCAAATTTTCCTTTAAAATAATATAATCCATTTTATATTGATTTGTATGTCCATTTTGTGAAAATAAAATAAACTGAATCATTAGATTTGATAGGTTCAAATAGCTCTTGCTCATGAAAAGTATGGAACAACATGTCTGAGTGTTTTGGCTGATGAAAGGTATTTTTAGGTGAGTATATTGCACTGGAAACATAATTAATATTGTTTTAGAAGTTTTTCGGGGAAACAACCGTAAGATTTTGTGACGTCTTCTCACTTATTTCCGTTCTACGGAAGTTATGATAATTTGGAGGCCATTAGAAGAACTAGTGTCAAGGTTTTGTAGCTTCACATATAATTTTTTGACCATATTCATGTTGATTGGAGGCATTCATTATATTTAAATTTATTTCACATATATCATTTACAGTGACTCTTGTCATCTGCCGGCATTTATCTATCAATAAAAAATGTCAATCTTCTTATGTTTGTGTATTTATTTCTAGAAATTGCACGGTTATTGCTAAGGCACTTATGCTTAAAAAGAGCACACATGACCAAAAAAGTTAATATTGACAAGATTCACATTTTCCTCCACCACACTAGTTTAGCAGATGGATCGTTATTTAAAAAGAAAAGAGCAGGTGAAAATTGATAGAGATAATCTTTCAGCTGACTTTGGGCTCTGTCCTTCTATGTGGAGTTATGATGTTAATGATAGAGATAAAGTACAAAGAACGTATTTGCTTAAAGGACTACATCAACAAAAAGGTCATAATCTTCCTCGAACACTAATAAATAACTTTGCCCAGGGATTTAATTCAGAATGGTTTGAGGATCATCCATCTTGGTTAGAATATAACGTGCAAAAATATGCAGGATGTTGCCTCTATTGTTATTTATTTAAGCCTCAAGAAATGGTTAGAACAAGTCAATGAGGTGGAGATTCATTTGCTATGAAGGATTTAAAAATTGGAAAAAAAAAACTTTTAGTACATGTTTTAGATCATAACAATGCTCATAATTAGGCAAGACAAAATGTGAAGATCTAATAAAGCCTTAAGTACAAAGTGCTTCCACCATGTGATTGAGTAAGGATGTGGGGAATAAAAAAGATAATAAAATCATGTTGACCATATCTATTGATTGTTTTTTATTTCTTCTACAATAAGGATTGTCATTTTGTGGTCATGATAAATCATCTGAATCAACTAATCAAGGAAATTATTTGGAGTTATTTCATTTTCTTGCGAACCATCATGAAGAAATCAAGAAAGTTACATTTGAAAATATCAACACAAAATTACAATTAATTTCACCAAAAGTTCAAAAGAAACTTTGTCAAGCTGTAGTAGTTGAGACTTTCGCTTCTATCATGAAAGATCTAGGTGATTCTAATTTTTTTTTTATCATAGTTGATTAGTCTTGTGATGTGTCAACAAAGGAACAATTAGCAGCTGCAATGAGATATGTTAATAAAAATGGGCAAGTTATTGAAAGATTTATTGGTCTAAACACATTTCCTCAACAAACTCAGTTGCACTCAAAACAGCTCTTGAATCCATACTTGCAAAAAAATCATTAAGCTTACATAGGATATGTGGCCATGGGTATGATGGGATATTTAATATGCTAGATAAGTTCAATGGTTTGAAAGCACTCAATCTTAATTATAATCCTTAAGCATTCTATGTTTCAGAAAGATTAACCAGCAACAGTGAAAGTCTTCTATCGAATCGAATGCTCATTGCTTCGCTCATCAGCTTAAGTTTATATTTGGTTTCTATAGTAAAAATCACCAGCAAGTTAAACATATTTTTGAGTTCACTTCAAGAATCCTAAATATGGTCGTAGCTTCTTGTAAGAGGAGTGAGGCTCTTAAATCCATTTAACATGAGAAAGTTCTTTTACATCTTAGAGATTAAATTTAATTAGCACTCGTGGTTTGAATCAAGAACTTACTTTGCAACGAGATGGAGACATTGATTGGAGCTCACATTTCAATAATTTAATTAATCTCACGAAAATATATGCATTTGTACTTGAAGTAATTGAGATTATAAAAGAGGACGAAGTGTATGATCAATAATCAGTTGAAGCCGTTGTTCTAAGTGATGCAATGAAAATTTTTAACTTTGTCTTCACAATGCCTTTAATGATCAATATTTTAGGGTTTACAAATGAATTGCTGTAAATTTTTTAAAAAAAGATGAACATATTGTGAATGCAATGAAATTAGTGTAGGTATTGAAACAACAAATGCAAATAATGCGAAATAATACATGTGAATCCTTATTAGAAGAAGCGGCTCACTTTTGTAATGTTTTTGAAATTGATATTCCAAATATAAACTTCACTTTTAAGGCCCAACGAAGAACAATGTGGAGATGTGAAGAAATTACAACTTTCCATCATTATTGTGTTGAGTTATTCTATAATGTGATTGGCATGCAACTTCAAGAGTTGAATAATAGTTCCTCTAGAGAAAATATTGCATTGCTTCTCTGTATAGCTTGTCTGAATCCAAGTGATTCTTTCTCAACTTTTGATAAGGGAAAGCTAATTCGTCTTGCATAGTTATATCTCTATGATTTTTCTGTAGTTCTGCTTGTAGCTCTCGATGATCGATTATCTACTTTTATTACTGCAATGCACTTTAGTGATGATTTCTCATTTCTGATAGGTTTTACTGACATTGCAAAACAGCTTGTTAAAACTAAGAAGTATTGTGTGCATCCTTTAGTTTACAATACATTGGCACTAGCTTTACCATTGCTACTGCTACGGTTGATAGAGTTTTTTCTGCAATGAAAATTATTAAACATCAATTATATAATTGAATGAGTGATGACTAGCTTAATGATTGTCTTATTTTATACATAGAGAATGACGTGTTTAACTTGATTCCTAATAAACTTATTGTGCAAAATTATCAATCAATGCAAAACATATTGAAAAGTTTGTAATCATTATCGTTATACATTTTTCTTGAACCCAATCATTACGATAGGAGTTAGTTCGGAAGATGTTCCGAGCAGTTTCTCTATATAACCTGTTGCAAGATAGCCTCTACTTTTCTTATTATCTTAAATTTTGAGCTGTCATATGTGCCAAATCATTTTTTTTTTCTAGTATTCTTCTTTCCAGTTCGTTAATTAGCTTTTACTTTATTTGTCATTTATTATGCTTTTCTTTAAATGCTTATAACAATGATTGCAGGAGAGAAATGTTCAAAGGTAGGGAACAACTTATGTATGTTAAATTTGCAAGAGTTTTCAAGTAAATATTAAGTTTTTTATATTATAACATTTTTTACCTTTGTTTATGCTAAATATATTGGATGAAAGCTATCCCTGTGATTTTTCTGTGTTGACGAAAACTCTTTATACTTGGTTGCATGAAAGAATCATTATTCTTATTTGGCAATGCCAATCTTCTCAAATGTTCCCTCCATACATATTTGCTCTTCTCATTTTCCTTAAGATTACATTTTTGCTCCTCTCATTTCTCTCAGACTAATTGCAGCGAGGCAAATGCGACGAAACGATAGAAATTGCTAAGATCTATTGTTATTGATGATGAGACGAGTTCCAATTTTCCTATTGCTGTGGAGTTGCTAAGTTTTAGCCTTGGTTCCCTTGAATTTCATCTGCGAATGCCTCAAATCTCAAACTTTGCATTAAATTTCATTGGTAAGTCAGTTTTTAATATTTTTTTTTTACTGATTTTAATTGTAAATTATGCATATATTTTTTGATATAAATACATTAAATTTTTCTGATAATAATTTTTTAATTTTATTTGCCTACATGGATTTGACTTTTTACAGACATAAAATATAATTCTTCTGTATTTACATCTTCAACACTTGACTTTTATATTTCCTTGCACAAAACTCGAATTTTTCACAACGCATAATAAACTAGGGTTGTCTGTGCGGCCACACTTAAGTCCCTTCCAGGAGGTCCGTGCTGCCAAGATACTGCTCGCTCGGTTCCGCGAAGGTCAAAGGAGAGCGCACGCATAATAAACTAGGGTTGTCTGTGCGGCCACACTCAAGTCCCTTCCAGGAGGTCCGTGCTGCCGTGCCGATACTGCTCCATTTTCTGCTCGGTTCCGCGAACGTCAAAGGAGAGCGCAGGCGCAAAGTAGGGCCATTATGCCCTATTCTCCTCGCCGCCTGCCATGGACGCTGCCGCTGCCATCACCACTGCCAACATTGTCTACCGTTTGGCTGCAACTTCTGGTATTGCCCCGAGTATGCGCTTAGCCGACCAAGTAAGTAAGCGCTGCTCCTTCATTGATATGGGATAATAAAAGATTGCACGTCCCTTCTCTGAATTATCTCTCCCTTTTCACACCGAGTTTGTCTTTATTTTAATTCTAACATTTTCTCTTACAATAGGGTTCGAGGTGCTGCTTTGGTCGTACGCGAGGCTTAGGGTTGTCTGTGAACCAAAGAAAGGAGAGATTTGTGATGAATTGCGGTGGAGAACGCAAGAGGGACATGATCTCTTCTGCACTGGTTGAAGGAGTTGCTGATAGATTGGAAAGTTCCTCACTTGAAATGGGTAGGCCTTTTTATTGTTTTATATTTAATCTGTTTTCTCGGATTTGATTATTTTTCTTTATTTGACCATCAAATATTATTTTATGTAACTAGAAAAATACACTGACGTGAATATGGAGCCAAGAATATCGACAATCCTGACTACCTTTGATAATTCGTTTGATCCGTATGGAGCGCTTAGCATCCCTTTGTACCAGACATCCACTTTTAAGCAGGTGACTTTAAAAAGCATCTTCATGTAGCCTCGTGATTCTCATGGTGTTTTGTTTTATTCAAATTATGGAACAGAATAATACATTGTTGATCTTCAATGACTCTTCTTTTTCTTGCTGCACCCATTCAAAGATGATACTCAGCTGAACAGAAGATATGAACTTTGGTTTATCATTTGGGCGATATGCTTTCTCATGGCGACAAGGGTTCACAAGATGACTTAAATTTAGGACCTTGCATATAACATGCTTATTGATTAAAAGCTGTTTTAGCAAGTGATTATTTATTTATTTTTTGATTTCTAACCACCTGAAGTTCTTTGTTTTTTACTTAGTGAGAATTTATGGAATGTGCTGTTGTTTTTTTTCTTCTTGATGCTTGGGATATATGAAGTTCTGGGCATTGCTTTAGCTGGCCCATTTGGGCAAAAATGACAACAAATTGATATACATTCTGTTTGTTCATGAAAAATGCTAATGAACTGTCCTGAGTAATGATTTATGCTTTTCTTAGAAATAATTTCCAATGACAGCACTACTGTTTTTCCAAGCGTATGTAGGGTGTAACAGCATACAGGAAATTTTTTTGAGTTAGAAACAGAGTTATGTTTTAGCAAACAATCAGCGCAGGACATAAGAAGAACTTTTTTTAGCATTAGTTGTTTTATTGCTCATTCCATCCTTAGATGTGTGCTTTTTGTTGCATCACCTAATTCTACAAAAATATTTTATGTTTGAATGCTAGCCATCGGCCACGGAAAACGGGCCTTATGATTACACTAGAAGTGGAAATCCTACTAGAGATGTCTTACAAAGGTTTGTAAAAATTAGAAGTTCAGTCCGATCGTTCTAAGCTTGTGAAGCTGCAGGTACAGTAACCTTAATATTGGTATACTATTGACTTGTATGTTTGCTGACAATCAGTCTTTTAGCAAAATTGGAGAAAGCTCATCGTGCATTTTGTTTCACTAGTGGAATGGCTGCTCTTTCTACCATCCTTTCTCTTATTGCCTCTGGTAATTTTCTATAGATTGTTAGATTTAGTTTCTATTCAGGAAGCCAATAAATTTTGCAAGTTATATATGATTTTTTAGGTGAGGAAATTGTTGCTGGAGAGGACATTTATGGTGGCTCCGGCCCATTGCTCTCTCAAGTGGTCCCAAGGAAAGGCATTGTGGTCAAGTGAGTTGGAAACCTTTCAAAAATGATTCATACAATTGTATTTTTGTACTGCAGCTATTTACCAGAATGGGGAAATGACATATATTATGATTCTATCCAACATGACAGGCGAGTTGATACATCTAATTTGCTTGAAGTGGCTTCTGTAATTGGATCAAAGACTAAGCTTGTTTGGTTGGAGAGTCCTACCAATCCTCGCATACAAATAGCTGATATACGTGTAATCTTATTGCTTTTTACTCAACTAAATTAACTCTTTATACGTGAAATAAGTATGATAAAGTTGCTTTCATGCCAAATGCAAAATTTAAATATCCTAGCTAATTTCTAGCATTGTATACATTATAAATACCCATTAAATTGATTTCCTAATTTATGAGATTTCATTTGAATAATTTATTTTAGTTCTTTTAAATGTCAATATGAGTATTTCCACTTCCCTTGCATAATATTGCACATTCACATTACACACGTATGTACGCAAGTATATAAGGTTAGTGAATCAAATTGAGCAGAGTATTATTGCCTTCAAGCCTTTTCATTTTTTCTTAATCAAGTGGTGTTGAGCTTGAACATGGTAATATTTATATATTCTTATTCAAGCTTGTTTATTTGTTTTTCTATTGAGTTTGGGCAGAGCTTAAGCTTTAATTGAACATAAAAAATATATTTGCTAAGAAAATAAACATGTAATTTTATTCTCTAACATATGTTATTTATAATTTTCATCAAAATCTATACTAATTCATCCAATACTAGTTCCAATACTTTTAGAAACAAAAATGTTAATGAAATATAAAATTGAAATTTAATTGAACATTTGGCTATTTGCTCAATATGCACTTACATCATATTTATATGTCTAGTAATATCTTCATTTTTAAAATGCATAGGATCAGAAAGTTTGTACAACATATAAAATCAGTCATTATATAACCATCAAAACCATTATAAAATAAGTATTTAATCAAGTTATATGTTAATCAACAAATAAAAATATTAATGAATGTAAGTGGTTGAGTCAATGTTCAATATGTTCTGTATGCTAAGCCTTTAAAATTATGCTCGATTTTGTTAAAATATGTAATAAACACACATCATTATTTTTTATTTAAATGAACATTGGATTATGCATTGTGTGATAGTTTGTTAACATTTCTAGGTATCTATGTTTGCATGCCTTTTAATAGAATGGTTATCACAACATCGTTTTTTAGCAGCACAAATTGTTCTCTTACTTTCATCATTTTATGGTTGCCCTGCTTTTTTCGGTTGCTTTTTATAATAAAAATCTTTGTGTTACTTGAGCTTCCAGAAAAATTTTCGCTACTTACCAATTCTATGTTTCCCCTACATGCTTTTGGTGCTTGTTTCTATGCAGATTTAATGGAAGAATGACACGGTTCAGTAATTTGCATGCCAAAACTATTAAATTACTTTAGTGTACTCTTTTGGAAATTTCAAAACAATATGACTGTATTGTGCTTGTTTAACACAAACTTGAACTTCACTGCAAAGCTGAATAGACTCGTTGAAGAAACCAGTATATGCAAAATTTATGTGCAGGAAGAAGAATTTATTTTTACTTCATGATTTTCATTGGTTGATAAGAATGTGTTTGTGTTTTTTGATATTGTGTATAGCCTTCTAATTCCCAAACCTCTAAAAAGGTAGTCAACATATATTGGCCATTTCCTCCATCATTTGCTTTGCATCAACTCACTATTGTTTATTTTTGTTTCCTTGTAAGTTCGTTTTTATTGTTATTGTACTGTGATTTGCTTTGTGATTGACTTTTTATGAAGAAGCTTCAGAATAGTATCAATACCAGCAATTTTCAAAGTATGGTCAAGTTTCCTAGCAAAGAAAAGTTCTTCAGCATCTTTGCATTTAAATTAATTAATGCAAAGCATTAAATTGCCTTTGCATTATTGACTTAATAAATAAGTGATTGATGATAGATCTAATGATTCTTAGAGTCAATCTAATTTGGTTATAATAATGCAATATTTTCCAGTCATGTATGTCTTTAATGCACATAGCGTTGTTTCCCTTTTCTGCTATACGTTTTACCTTAGTGCTGTTCATTTTTTGCTCGAGGGATGTATTCATTTGCCGATAAATATGCTCTTTTGACCTTTCTTGTCATAGGCTTTCCTTTTCTTTGTGCCATTCTTACAATATTTTTCTTTTTTTGATAAAGCATCATTTTTTTTTAGAAAGCATCAATTATTATTTTCTTTCCTAATACACAGAAAATATCAGAGTTGGCTCATGCACATGGAGCTCTTGTTTTGGTGGATAACAGTATCATGTCTCCAGTTTTGTCTCAGCCGCTAGAATTTGGCGCAGGTTCCCTATTTTCTATATACTAAGACCTCATACTTGTATATAAATAACAGTAATGTGTTCTTTGTCTTCTTGCAGACATTGTGATGCACTCGGCTACTAAGTTCATATCTGGTCATAGTGATGTCATGGCAGGTATCCTTGCTGTGAAGGGAGAAAGGTTGAATTTTTTTTTTTGCTTTTACAAATCCCAAGTTAATAACTTTATACGGATAGGAGGATACAAAGATAATTCTCAGAATATTTTGATATTTCATTTTAGAGAACGTTCCGTTCACCCAGTCATCTAACCGTTATAACTTAAATATTGTTTTGTTTTTTAAATTAGAAGTTTAGTCATGGATATGTGCCATTGAATTTCGTGAGTTAATGTCCTTTTTTTGTGAAGAGTGGGGCAATGGAATGGTATGGATTGATATATTGATTGCAACATAATTTAGAGAATGAGGGTGGAGGTTGATGGGTGGTAGTGCGAAGAGATCTGGCAACTTGTAGAATGGGAAAAGAAGAAGGAATTAAAATGACTTCCAAATTACCTTAAGAATCCAGAATTGGGTTGGCTCATAGTTTTGTAAGAGGATTTTGGGCATCAAACTATTTTGTGAAATTTAGAAGGGAAAAAAGATTAATTGTCATTGAAGAAAGTAAGAGAAATACATATTCTCTTATTTCTCAATTTACAACTATTCTCCTTATATAATAAAGAATTTCTAGGGCAAGATTAATTACAACAATCACAACTTACCAAAGAAAATATAACTCAAGAAAGAAAGAAATATGCCATAATAAGAAGGGAACAAGTGAGAATAAAATTGAAATAGGAAACTTAGTATTCCACATTCTCTCTAGCTGGGTTATAGATGCTATAAAAACCCAACTTGTAATTCAAGTCAGTGAAGCTAACTAGAGGTAAAGATTTAGTAAAGACATCAGTAACTTTAAGTTGAAATTTATATTAAGTGAACAATGCATCCATAACCTTTTTAGAGATAAAATATCTATCAATCTCAATGTGTTTGGTCATGTTATGATACACAAGATTCTTTGCAGCACTAATTATGACTTGGCTGTCACAAAACATCTTTATTGGATTAACGATGGAGTATCCCAATTAACGATGGAGTATCCCAACCGATTTATTAACCTTTGGATCCACATTTCTTCACAAATTCACAAAAACTTTGCTCGGTACTCAAATTCTACACTATTTCTATTGACCACTGCTTATTTATTGCTCCTGAAAGCAACAAGATTTCTTCGGACATAAAAATGATACCCGGAAGTACACATTCTGTCCATGAGTATTCATGGCCAATTAGAATCACTGTAAACATCTACCTTCCCGTTGTCCGATTTCTTAAAAAGTAACTCTCTGTTGAGATGTTTTTAAGAAATCTCAATATTCTTTAAACCATCTGCAAATATTCTTTATTTGGACTATTCATATGTTGACTCATAATGCCGATGCAGTAAGCAATATTAGGTGTATTGTGTGTGATAGATATGTAATTTTACCCACGAGTCTGGTATTTTACCTTTTTCACTAGTTACTTTTCTCTCATTCAATTTAAATTTTTGTTGAAATCCATAGGAGTCTCAACAGTTTTACACTCCAACATTCTTGTCTCTTTTAGTATGTCTAGGATGTATTTTAATTGTGTTATCATAATACCCATCTTGCAGTTGACAACTTTCATTCCCAAAAAATATATCATCGCTCATAGATCATTAATTTCAAACTGAATGACAAGAACCTTCTTATTCTTCTACATAGATAATGAGTACATTCTTTTTAACTCTTTTGGTATGCTTTATAGATAGTGTATGATCTGCTTGATATTGGATAGTAGATTTTAGCGTCTTGATGCTCAAATCAAGCTCGTAAAGATTGTTTGAGGCCATAAAGTGACTTTTTTAATTTACAAACTAGATATTTATTTTGAGTCATTTTCTTGTCATGGTTGGATTTTCAGATACATTTCTTCAAAATTTTCTTTCAAGAACGTATTCTTGATATTAAGTTGATGTAATTCTCACTCTCTGTTGACTGCCAAGGAAAGAACTCTTATAATGTCTAATTTGGCCACTGGAGTAAGGGTTTGCTTGGTGCAGCTGCAGTTTTTCAGCTGTAGCTGCGCTACCTCAGGAAGCTGCTGCGGGGAAGCTGACTATCTGTTTGTTGCAGCTGTATGAAAACAGCTGCGGGGCAATTGTTTCTGGAAAAATAACCAGTCTGCCCTTATTTAGTAATTTTTTTCTATAACAGAAATGTGACACCAATATATTTGATATTTCAGAAGCAGAAATTTATTTCAAAACACAACAAAAGTTCTAATACACCACTCATTTAGCAGTGAGTACCAAAAGTGTTAGGAAAAAGAAAAAAAATCAATGAAATTACAAGTAAAATAATGATGTTTTTAATATGAAGGAGATGGATGTTTTCTCCTAAACTGCCCTCCAATGATGCTATCAATTCATGATGGAATCAACCTGACTGTCAGCCCATCGGGCATCTGTAGAACTGTCGACTGTAGCTATGGGGCTGACGTGACCTCAGAAAGGAAGACTCTAGTTCGCAGTGTCATAAGAACCTTCAGGACGTCCCTGAAATTATGGAGCTCATCTTTCCCGAAAACAATTAAATAGAATCAATCTGACATATAATGAGCAAAATAAAGAATTGTCCAAAATGAACCAAACAATGAATAATAATTGCAGTTCAACCAGTGCAGTAATTCAAGTAAGCTCACTATAAAACTAAACAATCCTCATAATAAGAGCAAGTTCCATCAAGGAGTCCTTGGGAAAGCCATCATGCCATTGTCTTCAGTAACAAGTCACTATTCAACCATCTCTATCAAAGCTGACAGGCCCCTACTTGTTCTCAAGTATCTCATTTTATAAGAATGATCGAGCATATTACTAAAAATCACTTCTCCAACGCTTCAAGACATGTCCTAATTCCACCATAGAAATCATTTTCATAGTTCATATCTATCACATTGAATATATTACATCACCAATTACTAGAAAATATATTTTTTGTAATTTCACAACTTGCATTAATAGAATAATTTTAACAGGGCAATGCCCCCTAACTTTTACCCCCTTTTATTTTCTTACATAAAAAATTCTATATCTCCATTAGTTGCTCTCAAATTATTTTTAGCATATGTGCACTATTTTTTTTCATCGTTAAAATAATAAATTCTATCTTCAACAAAAATAAATGTTTTAGCACACAAGACACATAATATGACAATTATAATGGATGATTGCCAATTTATAACCCAAAGAAATACCAGATCAATAACTTTGATGTTGTCATCTTTAGCACATGATTGATGAGCAACTATCAGGAGATCCATTATACATTCAAATTATTTCAAATATAATACAATAACTTGCAACTATGAAGTATGTTAATTTATGTCATTCGATAGATATAGATCAAGCAAAAGCTTATAAAGTATTAAATCTTTTCAGCATCCATCTTTAAATAGACAAATGCTAGATATTTCATACAAGGAATATAGAGGAAGTTCACTCGAGTCAAATACACAAGAAATACTTTAAAAAATTCGAAGAAAAAATAAATAGTGCAGTACAGTCGTCCAATAATATTTATAATGTGACTTTTTGGCATTCCAAAACTCAAAAAATAGTGCAGTACAATCGTCCAATAATATTTATAATGTGACTTGTTGGCATTCCAAAACTCATTTCCTATCTTACGAAGTGGGATTTTTAGTATTGTCACTAATTCAGAAACAAAAAGATACTTACAAACAAGCATTTGTAACTTGTCAACATGCTCTCCATAAATGCATGGCTTGTTCGGCTCTATACCCGCTGCTCGCATGTAAAGATAACAAAGAACGTTATAACATAATAAAAGACGATGGGGCGTTGGAGTTATCTAATGGCATAAGGTGATGGACGAGCAAGGGCAAATAACCTTTGTCTGTGACCGATGAAGACATATAAGCAAAGTTGGATGTCGGCATTGATCTATTACAGATAAAGATTGGTGATGGACATTGGCTTCTTGAGCTGTGATCAAAGACAAGCATCAACGAAGATTGAAGATAAATGCCTGTTGCTAATAGGAAATGACATGGCATTTTCAAAGTCTTGTAACTTTCTTCACTAAATATCCTCCGCATACAAGGAATATAGAGGAAGTCCACTTGAGTCAAATACACAAGAGTCGTCCATGATTTCGGACGCTTCATCGGACCTGGAGAGATCACTATTGTTCATTTTATGATTTTTAAACATCATAGTTCTTTAATGATCACAAAATTGAGCAATATTAGTTTTGTTACATTTTTTTCATGGATATGCTTCTTGGACTAAGGATACAAGATTACAAGGAAATTCTCCTCCAAATGGTCTCGAGGAATTTCCTATAAAACTTCTAAGCATTCAATTTAGGTCCATTCAAAATTGAAAATGTTCTTCACAACATTAAATTTATTTTATTGAACCACTCAATTTGGAATGCTTGTTCAAAATAAAACTTAGATGATAGCGATAAATTCTCAAAATTTTCAGCTGAAATATTATTTGGAGTTTGTATAGAATATCTCGATACCATTCTTTTCCTCAAAATGGTGACTTGGCCAACTGATCACTACAACATGACAGCACTAAAAAAAAAAAAAAAAAAAAAAGAAAGCATGCCAATCATTGTGATTTTTTAAAATTAACTTTTGCAAAATGTAAAAATTTATAATTATTAAAAAAAAAACAAATACGTCTCGTATATCAACATTTATGGAAAG